TGGGGAATAAAAGGGCCCTCCTGTATGGTGATGGTTGCAGATTTGACTCTGGGAGGTGGGCACACAGTGCAATATACAGATCTTGTAACATAGTAACCCACACCTGAAACCTATATGATCATATTAACCAATGTCACTCCAATAAATGTAATAAAATTTTTTAAATTAAAAATAAAATAGCAGAAAAAAATAGCAAACTTTTTTTCCAGTGATATCTAGTACAAATCCCCCAACTTTTCATAAATTTTTAAATTTTAACAGTTCTTTTTTTGCCATATGAAAATATTCCTTTTCATAGAGTCAAATGTATCTTTATTTTTCATTTATAATCTGTTTCTGGTGTTATAATCTATAGTATTATTATGAAAAATTAAGCAGGAATCTTGAGTATTATTAGTTAAGCATTCCCTGTGCCAAGCCCAGCACTACTGAGACTTTCCATTAAAAAAAAAAAAAAAAAAACCAAAAAAAAAAAAAAACCTCACCAAACCTAATTTCATATTTCAAAACAGGAGTCAGAAAGCCTTTCTCCCATCCCCTTAACCCTTTATTTTAAGTATAAAGGAACACTAGTGTTTACATCCCAAATTCATGGAAAATCTTCTTAGGAGAGAATTTCTGATGTGACACACTAGACATCTATATATATAAAAGCCTAAGCAACTGTCAGGGTAGAACGACTGGAATGACCCGTCACTGTGATGCTCACTGACCACCAGGAGGCAGTTGCTCAACACAGGAGCTGCTCCCTGGTGATCAGTATGCTTCCATGGTGGGAACACTGCTCGCCAGAAGCAGGCCTGAGGCTGGCAAGCACAGCTGCCATGGCGGAAGCCTGTCCAGACTCGGCAGACTCCACAGCAGTACTACAGAGCAGAGGCAGCAGATGCAGCGGGCCTGGATAAGAGCACGCAGCATGGCGCCTGGCCCAGTTTGGGCTCTTTCCTAGCTGCCTGCCGCTTGGTGCATTGCTACATCCCCCGAGGGGTCCCAGATTGCCAGGACTTGGAGGAGAAAGAAAATTAGTACCTGGGTGCATTAGAGAGAAACTACATACAAACAAACAAAAAAATCAACAAAGGCAGAGAACATCTTAAAAGTAGTTAAAAGAAAACTAGCAGGTGGACATCCCCCGAGGGGTCCCAGCTGTGAGAGGGCACAGACTGGGCTGAGGACCACCCCCACCCTCTCACATGAAATTCATGCACTGAGTCTCTAGTTTCTAATAATTCTAGCGAAGAGGAACTGGGGGGTGGGGGGGGGGAAGAAGGATGTGAAAATGTGTTTGCTACTGCTAATCATGCCTCCCTGGCTGATACTCTTTGTAGAACATCAGATCATCACCAGATAACGTGACCTCTGCAGACATCCATGGACATCTGGCCAGAGCAGCCTCGAACTCAGTCACACAGTGACCACCACCTTGGCCCATGAAGACTGTAATTTTCACTGCCATTCCACTCACCATTAATGAGTAGTAACCCATTGAGCCACTACCCATTAGGTAATAAATATATGGGAAAGTCAATTGTATTTAAATCTCACAAACTCAGAAAGAGATTAAATGTAACTGAAGAACTCTTCACTGTTGAGTGATGTACTACTAAAAGAAAAATACTACAGCAGTAATAAAAAGCTAGCTGGCTTAATGTAGTCTTCACATGCAAAGATACAGATAAAACAAAGATATGATTAAGAAATGTAAGGCCCCGCCAGCATGGCAAAGTGGTTGAGCATCGGCCTATGAACCATGAGGTCACAGTTTGATTCCTGGTCAAGTCAGGGCATGTGCCTAGGTTGCTGGCTCCATCCCCAGTGTGGGACGTGCAGGAGGCAGCCAGTTTATGATTCTCATCATCTCATCATTGATGTTTCTGTTTCTCTCTCTCTCTCTCTCTCTCTCTCTCTCTCTCTCTCTCCTCCCCCCTCTTCTCTGAAATATATATATATATATATTTAATGAAAAAAATGAAATGTAAGAATGTTTTACATTAATATAGATATTATGGGCTTTGAGTTGTGTGACTGAAACCTTATCAAGTAAAGATACAATCTGAAGAGGCATTCAAATGCCTGATAACAGAATGACTATTTTTTTCTTTGTATATGAGTTCTACCCACATTTTCAAGAGCAGCCCAAATTCAACCTTTTTTTTTTCTATCCTACAGCTTTTAGAACCTATACTACATATTCTAGAACATATATAAACTTAATATTATTCAATTGTTTTGTGTCTGCTACTCTAGTCACCTCATTGAATTAAATATAAGCTCCATGAGAACAAACTGTGCATCCCCATGGCATTAAAACTCTGTGAGGATTCCAGATGTTTTTATTACTTTTAAATTTTATTATACTTTTATTCCCGATGGTTTATGCCTCTTCTTCTTCTGCAGAAGCCTAAACATGTGCTCATTAGGTAATTTTTCTTGATTTCTGGGAACAGGTTAAAAAAGAGGTCAAGATGGCAAAAAGTACTGTGAGGGCCCTTTTACAACTTATTATAGCGTAGAACAGGCAGTCCTTCAGTAAAAACAACAACACCGAGAATGTAAATGTTTTGACAGTTACTCCAGCTTTGCAGATCTCCAAAAGCTATGCACGGATTATGTCCAGTTCTTTTCTTTGCATCTAGGCATGCTTTGACCATGACTTTCCAATATAAATTCCAGTGAACTCCAGGATTCCCCGAGGCAGCTATAAAGTTTAACTGACCAAGTAGTCATGTTTAACGTGTGGCTGCTCCTGTCCAGGTCTTTGAGCTCTAGGTGCAAATGAAGACCTTCCTATTATTCAAGGAGAAGTCTGTCATCTCTGAAGAACACTCTGATGTCCTGAGGGATGATACTCAGGTGCCTAATCCCAGAAGGCCTGGCTAGCTTTGTCAAGGGGTTCGCTGCCTTCCAGAGAAATAAAACATCAAAAGCCAGCTCCTCTCCTGTTTTTCTTTCCTTTCCTTCTATTTCCTTAAGAGAGGTGGACGACGAGGGAAAGAAAAAGTAATGGGTTCATCAACTCTGGCTCTTGAACAATAAGGATTCTACCATGTCAGGGTCCATTAAACATAAAGGGTTTGGGCACATCGAACCTACTGTTTATCTACATTTGTTAATAATTCTAAGGAAAGGAAATGGCATCAACTAACCCTGTAACCCATTTCTCCATGATTAATTCCTTTGACTCTACTAGAACTCCAAGCCTTGTCATTAAAGCTCAGATAACATGCTGAAAATGGTGACACCACTTTAATATCCTTATTTTAGTACAACAGGGATGGGAAAAATACTTTCATAAAAATTAAGTTCCAATAATGAATCTCAAGTGTTAGCACCCTCCATAAGCCATCCATCGTCTTCGGCTGGACGTATCTTGGCTTTCCTAAATTCCTCTTGACCCACCCAGCACTAAATGAAGAGAATGAGTAAATCATGTTTGAAAGTAAGAAATTTGGACCTGCAGAATCTAATTAAATCTTTGGGACTAGCTACTGGTTGGTGAGACAGTGGGTGCTTCAAGTTTCTAATCCCCAGTGCAATGGTGATAGCACTCCTCAAGGTGTTCTGAGGATACAATGAGATAGATAATGCAAGCCAACTATTCTCACAGTAAAAGGCACACAGCCTGTGCAAAATAAACTAAGATTTTTAAAATATATTTTATTGATTTTTTTTACAGAGGAAGAGAGGGATAGAGATTTAGAAACATCGATGAGAGAGACATCGATCAGCTGCCTCTTGCACACCCCCCACTGGGGATGTGCCTGCAACCAAGGTACATGCCCTTGACTGGAATCGAACCTGGAAAGGTCCCAGGTTCGATTCCGGTCAAGGAAGGACACATTAACTTTTTAATGTAAGTATATACACAGCAGGTCCCAGGAGCCAAACCGGTTTCAGCAAACTAAAATTAAAAAACAAAAACAAAACAAAACTGGTTTAATTAATATGTTTGTTTTTGTTTTTTAAAAGAGTAGAGACAAGTTTTCTTCATTTCCCATCATGACGGTCAATGCAAAAGCTGCTGTATTTTTTTAACTTCCATATTTTTAAATCATGCCTTCGCTTAAACACACAAATCCGTCCACGGTCTTTCACACGGACGGGTAAAACAGAATATCATTTGTAATTGGGCTTCAATTCCAACACCCTCGCTGGTGGACACTGCTGGGGACGTGGGCGCAGGCCGCGGCGGAGGGCGCAGGGCATGGCCTCCCAGCAGCCGCCCGCGCACCTGTTTCCCGGGCGGCGGCGGCGGCGGCGGCGGCTCGGGGTGCGGCCCGCGCGGAAGGGGACAGATAGTCCGTCAGGAGGAGCAGATGCGCCTCCAGGGACCCCGTTCCCGCTGCGCACGGAGGGCGGACCCGCGTCCCCCGGCTGCGGGTCTGGGTCGCGGGAGCGCACCGGGCGGCCGCGGGGGCGGAGGGGGGACCCGGCCGGCGCCGCCCGCTCCGCTCTCCGGCCCCGCCTCGGCGCCCGCCGGCCTGACCGCGGAGTCGCACACACGGGTCCGCCGCCCGCGGGCAGCGGGGTGAGCGCTGTTAGACACGGCTTCCCCCTCCTCCCGCAGCCTCCACGGGAATAACCCCAACATCTGCCCGACGGATCTCTCCCGGCCTCCCTGCGCCTGCACCCCGTCCCCTCCCGCCGCTTCCCCGCTCCACCCCCCGCACCAACTGCAACCCGGCCGTCTGCAGGGGGTGGAGCGGAAAAGCAAAACCGCTTTTGCTTCTTTCTGGCAGGAGGAGGTGGAAACCATCCCCGCAGAGAATGAGTTCGACAAGAGGGGGAGCCGCATCGCTGGGCAGAAAGTAGCATCCAGAGACCGACGGGGGCGGACGGACGCGAGGAGAGAAATGTCCACCACACGCATCGGGGAGCCAAGAGAGTCGCAATCGCCGACTTCGTTCTGCGCGCAAGCCATTGCCATGACAAGGTTTGCTGGAAGCACCGTTGGAAGGCCTTTTTTTTTTTTTTTTTTTTAATATTTTGGTAAGACTTACCTTTCTCTTCGGCATAATGACTACGTTCGTGCAGCTAAAAAAAAAAAAAAAAAAAAAAAAAAAAAAAAAAAAAAAAAAAGTACAGCAACGGACTGGACCTGCTGGGACCGCCGCTGGATGTGGCCGCCGCCGCCGCCGCTGCTGCAGCTGCTGCTCACGCGCGGGGCACGGCCTCCCGACCTGCACCTCCGCGGCTCCCTCCGGGGGCCCTGGACTCGCCGGCCTCCCCGCTCCGCCAATCAGAAGCGCCGGCAGCTGGCCGCGAGGCCCCATTGGCTGCGGCAGCGTTCTAAATTCCACGAGGGCACGCCCACCTCTGCGCGCTCGGTAGGCGCTGTTGTAGTTTCCAATTCACAGGGAAAAAAAAAAAAAAAAAAATCTGCCTGGCGACTGAGCATGCCCAGTCCTACTAGCAAGCCCCAAGCCACAGGCTCCTGGAGCTTCATTGTGTGGCTGCTCCCTCTCTGGATTGTGCCAGTGTGGGCGGACCTTCACAAGGGAGGGAAAGTATTAAGGAAGGACACATGAACTTTTCAATGTAAGTATATACGCAGCCGACACTTGATACGTCTACGACTCATAAAGGCTTGTCGTGAATGTTATGGGATGGAGACCTCTCAGTGTGGAAAGGTGCTCTGTTCTGGAAATCTGGCAATCTCTAAGGATCTTGGTTTTTGCCACTAGATATCTAGTGGCATTAATCCCTAAAATTGTTTAGCTCCCTCTCCCTTTCTCTTACTAACAAAAATGTGATTACAAGAACATATATGCATCTATGCATAGCCCATGGGCACAGACAATAGTGTGGGGAAGGCCTGGGGAGGGGCGGGGGCTGGGTGGAAGGGGACAAAATGGAAGGAAATGGGGGACGTTTGCAATACTGTCAAATTTATAAAAAATCTGTGATTATAAATCACTCACCAATCCAGACTACTTCAAACTAGGCTTGAAGATGAATAGGATATATTGGTAATGGAAATATAAAAAAGAATGAACAAAGTCAGAACAGATTCTTTCATATTTGAAGCATATATTTTCATATACATGATTTAAATATGCATAGTTTGATGTTTGATCTCAAAAGATTTGGTAGGCATAAAATGGGCATTACAAAAACACTTCCAAACTTATTTCATGAGATCATTTTACCCTGATACCAAAAGCCACTACATGGCCATTTCTTTCTTAAAAAGAAAAGAGAGCTAAGACCAATATCCTTCATAAACACAGACATAAAAATCTTGAAAAATCTTTAGTTATATCAAACCCAACAACATTAAAAAAATATTATATCATGACCAGGGAGGTTATCCCAGTTCGTTTGAGTATATTACATTCCACTGAAATGCAAAGTTGGTTTAACATCTGAAAATCATCTAATGTAATTTACCATATTAATAGAATAAAGGAAAAAAAGCCAACATGATCATTTCAACAGCTGTAGGAAAACACTACTGACTGGATAAAGTGTGGTAAGCACATACAATGAAATACTACTCAGCACTAAAGAGGAACACAATTTCCTACAAATGGATAAATTTCCAAACAAAATGTTGCCTGGAAGAAGTCAAATACAGAAGACTATACTAATAATTTCATTCACGTGAAATTATAGGAAAAGCAAAATTAGGCAAGATTAGTTTCATAATTATATTAGAAGACAAAAGTTTCCATCACAGGAAAGTATATTGAAGTCTTATACTGTAAATATGACCAAATCTACTTTGGTCACACAGAGGCTGTAAATATGTATAAAACAATGTCATAAAGTAATTTAAAAATATATATATATATGTTATTGATTTTTTACAGAGAGGAAGAGAGAGAGAGTTAGAAACATCGATGAGAGAGAATCATTGATCAGCTGCATCTTGCACAGCCCCCACGGGGATGTGCCCACAACCAAGGTACATGCCCTTGACTGGAATCGAATCTGGGACCCTTTAGTCTGCAGACCGACACACTATCCATGGAGCCAAACCGGTTTCTGCCATAAATAATTTTAATGCTTGATTTTTTCCTTGTTAATTTCAGAATAGTTCATTGGTATCCTAGCAAACTTCAGAAGTGATCAATGACTTTCTTTTTTTATACCATCTCAAGGAACCTGTGGATTTTTATATATTTGATGTATTTCAACCTATTGTCATTATTGCTAGTTTTTTTTAATGCTCATATTGTCCCAATACGAGAACCTTTTCAAACTAGTGCTTATAGATTCTTTGCTTTCAGTGGATTGCAATATACTCAAAAGAACTGGGATAAAATCAGTTCTTTCCTCTAAAATTGGATAGAAGCTTCAAGGTTAATAATTTTATGTAAAAAACATATTTATAATAAAGTTGCCTTAGAAGAGAATAAATTTGCAAAGTTCTTGATGGTTTAAAAAAAAGCCATTGAATACATGTCTTAAAAATAAGATGTGTATGGGAAGGAAACTAATAGTAAGTAAAATCTGGGTTGAATTGTTGTTTTTCTTTAGTTATTTTTATTGATTTTTAGTAAGAGAAAGGGAGAGGGAGAGAGAGAAATATCAATGTGAGAAGGGAACATGGATGAGCAACCCTCTACCCGGGATGAGTCCCCAACCAACATATGCCCTAACAGGGAATAGAACCAGCAACCTTTTGGTGCACAGGACGACACCCAACCAATCAGCCAGGGATTTTTGTTTTTCTTTATGGAGATAAAAAGGTGTCAAGACAAAAATGGAGCTAGTGTGAGTTTTTTTCCTTCTGTGATGAAAAGTGACTCATGAAATTGGCTTCTTTGTATTTTTCAAGACTAGACACAATCAACAGCAGAGAAAATTGTGAATGCTTTTACTGCACATAGGAAAGTTGGCTGCAATGAAAATGAAGCTTGCTAGCTGGATAAAGAAAGTTGATTGTGAGGATCTTGGGTCATTTGAGTCTCTTAGTTCATTTACACATGATGGAAATAAGAACTTTAGCTGTAAAATAAATAAGAACATCGATTCTCTTTCCTTTGAAGTGGATTGCACCTGCCTGAGCTGGACACTAAGGAATGAAGGGTTCTCCCTGCACCTTCAGTAGCCTTCCAGGTCTAGGAAAAGAGGTGCAGGCCTCTTTGGCAGCCCTGAAGGGAAGAGGAACAGGCAAAGAGAATGGTTTGGTGGGTAACTGGAATTACAGGTTAGGCAGTAAAAGAAAAATGAGACTGCCACATGCAAGACAGTGAGGAGGCCAGCCTGGTAGGAAGTAAAGACTCATTTGTTATCAGTACACTCCGCTGAGCATTTTTCCTGCTTTGATATATATCAACTCTAAGACCGAAGTCTTCTCTACAGGACATGGATACTGTCTAAGCCAAGATAGACAATGGATGGGTGAAGGGAGTTACTGCCTGAGGAAGAAAGAAGAACAAAATCATGAGCAAGCTTCTTTTCCAATTCCAAGTCCTCTCCCCTTCTTTCCTACTCCAAGGGGCTAGAACCCCACACCTACCTCAGCAGTTTTCAAACAGCAGGACAAAATCATTTATGCAATCCTGACTATCATTAAGGAAGGTGGGGGAGAGAAAGACAGAAACAAGAGAGAGAGAAGAAAAGGCAGAGCACAGAAAGAATCAGAGTGCATTTCACATGGTAAAGGTAAGTAGTGTCTTATAAAATGTTTCCATTTGGCCATACCTTCCCACATAACATACACTACTCATAAATACATACATGTAGTGTGTTTGTTGTATATTTTGTAGATTGTGACTTGAAATGTACTTTTAGGATGGGTTAGTGCACAAACTTTAAAGCTACTGCATAGCCCTAATGAATCTTCTGAATCTTTGGGGTTCCATCAGTATGTTCCTCAGAAGAAAGGTCCTTAATCTTCAAATCTTGAAAGGAAATTAAAAAAATATATATATATGTTATTGATTTTTTTACAGAGAGGAAGAGAGAGGGATAGAGAGTTAGAAACATCGATGAAAAAGAATCATCATCGATCAGCTGCCTCTTGCACAACTTCTACCAGGGATGTGCCCGCAACCAAGGTACATGCCCATGACCAGAATCGAACCTGGGACCTTCCAGTCTGTAGGCAGACGCTCTATCCACTGAGCCAAACCAGTTTTGGCTTGAAAGGAAATTTTGAAAGGAAATGATCACTTGCGAATCACCTCCTCTTGATTTGTTCCTTCTTCTCTTTCAAGGAGGCTCACTTGGGATTTTGCTCTAAGTAATGGCAAATTACTGGAGAAGTCAGATTTAGAATCTATACATACTGTTGCTCTGACAGGTGTTACTCTTCAGTAAACAGGCCAGAGGTGAATAAGATTAGGAGTGTAACAAAACAACAGCAAAAACAACAAACAAAAGGTGGCAAAAGAATATTCTATTTTATTTTGTCAAGTCTCTGATTGGATGATGACTTTTGAAGAATCCACTTTAAAAAAATTTTTTTTTTTAACAAATTCATTAGGACAGTATAAGAGCCACCCATCCAAAATCACAGGAGCTGCCTGATAATAATTAAGAGTCTTTATGGCTGGACTCCGCATTTCAAACATGCAGGTGTTTTTTATACCACAATTTGAGAATTCTGGAAGAGGCTTTAGCTCTCAACAAATATTTGCTGAATGCTGGTTCTTCAATTCTAGTGATGTATTCTGCGAAAGCCCATTGATTTCTTAGCTCACTTTCAAAGCGGGAGCATAGTTCTGTGGGTGAAACACCCACAGACCTCACTTGGTGCTTGTGCTTTATCTCTTCCTAATTCCAGTTTTGCTTGGCACTGCCTGCTTCTTTCACATTCTTCTTCCTCTTCTCAACTTGCAAGGACCCTGAAGGGTGATTAAAAACCGCACACCTCAGATCTCTACAATAGCACCCCCTCCCATCTTCCCAGGCAGCACTGCAGTGGCTCCGGGAGCCCCTGGCAAGATGACATTCCCTGGCCCTGCATCCTCAGTAGGAACCTAACCTGCCCAAACCCCACAAGCCACACCCTCTCAGGCTTTATTATTTCAATGGCTGTACAAACAGTCCTTGTCATTGCGTT